AAAATTAATTCCCTGTAAAACATTTATTTTCCACCTATTTTCCACCCTTACAATCAAACGGACCCTTATAGCAAAATCAATGGTCGAACAGCCATCTCCGCCCGAGCTCGACCAGCATGGTCTCATTATCGAGCTTGACTACCTGGTTAGAGTTCAGCCATCTAACCATGATTAGGTTTAACGATCAATTTGACCGCCTCTCTTCTTTAGGCTCCCGCTTCTCACCGATCTTTCTCGTCTCTTGACTGTCAACTTAAGCTAGGACGTGATCAACTCATCAACTATTTGAGAGGGACCTAGATGTCCCCGTTGAAAGGCTCCTAAGGTGGACTTGTGTCTATCAAATATAATACTGCAGCACATATGTATTATAGAGATTTCGTTCGTGCATACCAAACTTCATTTCGTTTATTTTATATCATTATTCACTTTGATTTTCAACAACATTTTCTGCCATGGAGATGTCAATCCCAAGAATCTGTTTTCAAAACTATATATAAGCATATTGTTGGCTTTTATACAATGGTGCGTGCATATAACACATTCTATCGATGCATCTCTACTAAGCATTAACAACATCAAATGCCTTCTCTTTGCCAAGTACATGATCAACAGTGGTATTATTCACCGGAGAATTTGTCTCGTTTTCTTCAGTAGTTGAAGCTGATGTTGCACTTGAAGCAGCTTTCGTGTTCGATGGCTGATCAGTTTCCCGTGGAGGTGAACTGGCTGGGGATCTGACTACTTGCCTTACGACTTTGCTACTATTGACAAGGGCCTTTGACTGAGTTACCATATAATTAAGCCACAGCAATAGTTCCAGGATATAAGCTTCTGTCTTCTGCCTGTCAGCATGGTGGAGTGTCTCGATTGGCATAATATCAATTGGCCCAACTGACTTGCGATTCAAATCTGACCTGTATTCACGAAAACCACTTAGCATCTACTTTAAATCGTATATCGAATAACCAGATTCATCATACAAACATTTCATTTACTCACCCAGTGTTTCCCCACTCTCCAACCCAACCGAATCCGTGATGGGCCCTGATCGAGTAAAAGCAAACACGAACATAATTAACAAACGTCTTTCGCAATAGATACAGGTAAAAAAAAAAGGAAATCTTTGAATTCTTACTTAGCCGTGTTTGTGGCGACAGGAACAAGCCATTGTAATGTTTTTTCCATCACTTCTTGGATCTCTGTCACAGTGAGCTGCATAGGATTAGCAAGAATTACATTAAAAGCATCAAAAAATCGAACCAACGGATTAGTTAGAGAAAGCATCACGAAAAGCATCAATGGAAGCCTGGAAATTTTAGCGTATAAGGTAACAGAAAATACCTCCTTCTGGACATGGAAAGATTGCAGTTTGGATTTTAACGGAGATTTTAAACTTGGTGGCAAGCTCTGGTATAATGTATCTCTAGCGTTTGGAGGCATGGAACTTGGACGGGCTACCTAATCACAGGAGAAGCATGCTCATTCAAATTCAGATAACAGATGATGAAAAAAAAAAATTGTCACAAATGGAGAAAGGGTCCAACATGATACAAATTGTACTGGCCATTGCTTTGAGATTGATTTATTCATGACTTCGACGGAAAGAGAACGCTTGTAGAGAAAAGTAATTCAACAAAGGTATTGTCAACAGTGACAAGATAATATAAAGATATACACTAGAGTTTGGCATAACTTCTGAATTAAAAGTCTGCCTTACAGATGAACTTCACAATATGGGCTTTACAAGAAGTGCTTCTGTCTACTTTTTACAAAGTTCTACGGAATTGAAAATAATTGCTCATTGCATCTAATGGGAAGTGAAACTTCAAAATCCATTATTGTTCACTTTTTTTCCAAATAGATTCTCAAAATGACTTCTCCTAGAAATCTACACATAATTCAAATTAAATGTTTTCTAGAGGACTGGTTGCAAACCACCCTTGAGATGTGCCAATCATAATGCCACGCGTCATAAATAATGCGTTTATTCATGTGAAATTTATATGTCTTTCTATTGAACCACTTGATTTTAAAGTTTAAGATGCTAGATAAGTCCGCATTTATATCATTTCAACCTTACACGTGCACAATTTTTAATAAATGTGAAGCTGCAAGACTTGAAGATAGGACCTTTGCTTACTCTAATATTACATTGAATCATTTGATCTTTAAGCTTAAGCTATTAGACAAGATTTAAATCTTATCTTCAATACTTTCCTTTGGAGTGGTTGAGATGAATGAGTAATCATAAGAGCGCAAAAACACATGATAACCATTTTTTCCTCAACACTTTTCTTTGGAGTAGTTGAGATATGAGTAACCGTAAGAGCACAAAAACACATGATAACCTTTTTTCTAAAACTGTTTCTAAATCCAAAATTTTCAATAACAATTAACAATTCTAAAACTATTTCTAAATCCAAGTTTTTCAATAACAATTGACAATTTGATCAAAGTTGAATTGAGCATTTGCAATATTTGCCACACTGTTCCATCACAAACATAAAGTTAGAATACCAACAGTAACAATTCTGGTATAAAGAAATCCCACAAAATACATAAACTTAGAACACCTAAGAACTTTCTAACACAGAGAACACTATAAGCCAGCCAGTGCCATCTTTTTGGACCTAACCACAACCTCTTTGAAGTATATTGATGACATGACTAGACATGGCATGAGGAATTTTAGTCATGATAGGAAATATTGATCATTGATAATCAATTCGAGATAAAAGTCTAAACACAAAATCATCATCAAGAAGAACGTGATCAAATCATCAGTAATTAAGTATCAGCTAGTGAAGAGTTATATACTTACAATTGAGTCAATCTGGAGAATGATATTAGCATAATGTAATGCAAGCCCAGCAGGCCCCAACCTTTGTTTATTGTTCATGGATCCTTTTTCCACCAATTCACCAACTGCTGGTCATCCACAAAGATAATTTAACCCAACCAAAGAAAACAAGAAAAATATTTAATTGATACCAATATGCACATTCCGAAAATAGAAGTCCAGATGGATATATTGTAGAAGTATGATTTACACAATTTGTTAGAGTTCTCTGAGAAATGAACATAAAGACGGAAACTCTTATAATATACACTGTTTTTGAATCCTCAAAGATTTTCAGTGCTAAGTAGCGAAGGTTGGGTTTAATGCAGTAAAGAACAAGTTGCTTCACAAGAGCATTGCATGTATTTCCTTATTATTATTTTGAGATTATAAAAAACAATCATTTTAGCTGCCTTTCAGACATATAACAATATAACAGTTGCTTTATAAGATTTAAACATACCTGGACTGCCAAAGATATTATTTATCTCCTGATTCAAGAATAAGACAATATCCACAAGCTTCTCCATAACCTGTAACCCAGCATTTACATTGGAGTCAAATAAGACATTATCAGGGAAGAAATTCTATGAATTACAATCTTTATGTTATGGTTTTCAAAACGGGCTAATTCTCCCTTCTGGTTTCGAAAAGACACAAACTATCAAACACCATGTCATTCTGAAACCTTCGCTCGTCAACCCCTTTTTGGTCAAGCGTCCTCAAAGCTACTAACGAGTTAGAGCTTGTTTGGTAACACTAAAAATCCAATTAAAATTGAAAATATAGCCGCTATTGGGTCCCACCCGTCTAATAAAAGTCAACAATAACGGCTAATTTTTCAATTTTAATTCGATTTTAATCTCTACCAAACACACTCTTAAATTATATGGCTGAACAGACTTTATAGAGGGGAGCATATAGCAAATATTTTTAAAACGGGAAGTAGATAAAAATCTAACTCCTGAAACCACAAGGAGATCCTCTGTCCAAGTTTAAATAAGTCTCTACTAGAGAGGTGAACAGAGATTCTCCTTAATTGGTGGTGTTATCAGTTTACCTAGTTAATAAGCAAAGGAAAAGAATAGCTACCTCTTCTAAACTTCTGGACCACAACGACTTTTTCTTTAAATTTTTTACTAGTTTCTTTTGGCTTTTCAATTCAGCTGCCAAAACAGCTAGGCCGTCCTTGTCTCCTATAATGAAAGACATCAAAAAAATTGAGGATCATTCAATCTAACTATTATATCCTTGATAGCGTTACATTTTGAACAGTATGTATTAATATGGAAAGAAAGAATTGCACGAGCTATGATTTACTGTCATTTAAATATATGAAGCTTAAAATTTTTTACTTAAGTACACAACACTTGATATAAGATTATCATCATCTGAAAGCTTGATCACAAAGTAAGGAATACAGAAGAAATAGCTTTAGAGTGGGAGAAGACAAAATCATCTGGCTATACAATGAATCTAATGGATCTTAGTGTTATGACCCACATCCCAGATCATATAATAGTGGGACTAATGAAAGAGAAGAAAAAACCTTGGCCATAAGAAGAAATTATGGCAGTGAAGATCAAGCAGCAGATAAAGCGCATAAGGGTTGTCAATACTTAAATAGCCTAAGATTGACTTGGCCAATTGAAGAAGAAAAAAATTAACAAAATCAAGTGGCAAACTTGGCCATAGAAAGCGATGAGATAGTGATATCAAGTAGCAGACAAAGCTCATCAGTTTTATCAATATTCTGATAGCCTAATATTGACTGTTTGATGTTACAAGAACTTCTAAACGTGCACAAATATCTGGTACAACGCATTCTCCACTCACCCTATTGAAGAAGAAAAAATCAACAAAACCCAGTGAACTGCTCTTCATTGATGGCAGGGATTTCATATTAAGTGCTAGAATATAAGTCAGCGTAACTAGTATTGACCAGAATAAATTTTTGTCACAAAGAAATACCTAGACACATTTTTCATTCTAGGTGACTCAGGGAGATGGACAAATTCCTTTTTGAACACAGCTATCTTTCTTAATGAGCAAACACAGATGGTGCTAGGAGCCTATCTATGCATACATTCACTATTTGGCCATATGGACTTAGAGTGACATAGTAAAATAGAAAATAAACAGACGAAGCAATGGGGCTTGCAATCACAATTCATCGCTCTATGTATTTAATTAGAAAATCTTTTGTAGAAAGCTACATGCAAAAGGAATGCAAGTAAGCGAATTAAGTGGTCACCTCTTTGAACAATACTTAATCTAATCTCTTCAATACGCTTAAGTTGATAATCTTGCTCAAATGTGTCCAATGC